GTAAACGATTTCTTGCCGCTAGTCATCCAAGCCTCCCACCGAGCTCGGAGCGTCACTTTAAATGCACAATTCACACTTATGGCTGCAAATACTTTGTTATGCCCCCAAAACCAAGTTTTGTTGGTCCACTTTGACCTGTTTGGTAATTTCATTGGTCAGATTTTTTTAAATTTTTACCTTTATTTATGCAGGTAGTCTCATTGAGTCATGAGGACCCACCCCCAAGAGAGATTCAATTCAATTCAAAAATACTTTATTAATCCCAAAGGGAAATTATTTGTTGTAACTCGTTATCCTCATTTCATTCAGAGATGTTATAGATGCTGATGGCTGTAGACAGGAAGGATCTCTTGTAAAGGTCCATTCCACAGTGGATCCTAAGAAACTGGCTGCAGATGCCAGTTCCAGTTGCTAGTTCCAGGATCTCAGTGGTCAGGCACTCGAGCACAGCTGACAGGTAGATGAGAATGCGTCCACAGAACATCCTTTTTAACTCATTTGAGATTTTGGGCTGTAGCTGAGATATTATTTGAGCTTTTGAGATGTTAATCAGCTGCTGGTTGTAGAAAACTGCCTTGTTGCCATGGTTACGCATCATAACAAATGTCCCAAACTAAAAAAGTTTCAGTAAAAGTCCTCCCAGCTGCACAGCATCTGATACCAGTGGAAACAATCATCCAAAAAATGTGATTTACATCCAGAAAAAGAGGAATTAAAGTTTCCAAAAGCAAAATCTCAGAATGAAAGGAACAGAGCTGCTCCAACATGCAGCCACCTTGAGCGGCGCAATTCTAGAACATGTTCTAGATATGTTATTGAGAAGCTATGCGAGCACCCGGGTGTGACAAGGCTAAATGTTTTGGTGACATGAAGCTCGTTAGCCCGTCAACCCCCTCCCCCCATAAATTAGCCGCAGCATTGTATAAGCCACTGTGTTCAAAGTGTGTGAAAAAAGTAGTGGCTTATTGTCTGGAAATTACGGTAGTTTTGATCACATGTAAAAAGATTTGTCACTTAGGTCCATATTCTGTATAAACTGGTAAAAGGGTACTTTTTGGTTGAAGGTCTGGTGATATCTGCAGTATCTTTAGTGCACATCAGAAGGGCTACATCTGTCACGTGAATTTGAAAACGTCCAATGTGACATGTGACAGGAACAGACACGCACACAAACACACACACCTTGTTTATATCCTGCTGACCTTTCAAAGGGCATCGCCGCTCAATTTGCCCTTTAAGCCACCTCCCCAATCTCCTTCAGACCACAGACTACCCCCTCACCCACACCTATCTGGTCTTTTCTGTCCTCCCATCTTCTCTCATCTCTTTGATTGATCTCTGCTTTCCCTTCGACCTGCATGGATGCTATTTGTGTGCTGTCAGGCTTTCTTCCCCATATCGCTGCAGCCAGCCAAACTAATGGCCTGTATCTTCTACTTAATGACACAGTTACATCACTGCACTGGCTGCAGGCCATTATGGAAGACCACAAAGCCACCCTAAGTCCCCTTGAGGCTCTAACTGTTTCTTATTGGCTGTCTTACTCTTTCCACTTGTGTCATACTGGACATGTTCCTTTTTGTACTGATCAGGTAAACGTTTTTTGTTCGTTTTACTTTAATTTCTCATTACCTATCCCGTGAGCTCTTGATCTTTTAGTGTTATTCCTCTATTTCTGCTTACTACTTGTCATTTAGTTGTGTATGTAGTTATTAAATTATTTACTCCTACAGGTCATACTTCCTGGTTGAAACTGTGAATACTGATACAGAGTGCAAATTCTAATTTTACTTGTTAATATTTTTTCATTTCCTCCTACTTATGTAACAGTCTGTCACACTGCAGGCATTCCAAATCTATTCTAATGCTGTGAATAGTCTTTTTCAGGGACTTTTGATATGAGTGTGAGCGCATCTTCAAGCTGACAGAATAAATTGAAAAATGGGAGACAAACAATAACAATCTCAAAAGCAAGAAGAAATGGGGAAAGAGATGGAGCGAGAAGTGGGATTCAGAGAGAGGAGGGATTCAGAAAGAAGTGTGCAGAAAGCTAAATTTAGGACAACAGTTGAATGAACGTAAAACATGGAGGAGAGCCTTGCCTACACGCTAAAAGACAGCTCGGTCAATGACTTTTTTTATCTGCTTAAGCTAGGAAATGAAAAAGAGGGAAGGGGGAAGAAATTTCAGAAAGTTTTTAGGAAGCAGAAGGTGTGTGTTTGTGTGTGTGTGTGAGTGAAAAGAACCTCTCCACCTCACTGTAGCTGAAGCCAGATGGTATCAGTCTAAGCCAAAAAAAAAAAAAAAATGAAGGCAAGAAACTGTCCGGAACCGTTTACTGATAAGAAACATTGTGAGATCAAAGACGGATCCAGAGACGGATACAACACCTGGTGCCGCTTGACCCAGCTCAAAGATACACACTGACGCGTACACACACACACATTTAGCTTTTAAAATCAACCTTATTCAGCTCAACCTAACAGTTTTTGAGAGCAATAACTTCATCTGAAACTCATGAACAACTCGCACATTCTTATTTTTACTGTTAGCTACGTAAATGTCTGTTGGGGAAAATGATGTACTGTTGAGTAGTAATCAAGTTGTTTGAATTATCTTGAGAATCATTGAGAAAATTAGATTTTTTTAAATCATTTCAGCCGTGCATCGACATAGAAGCAGTGTATTTAGGAGCTTCTAAACAGTGATTTTTGAAAAGGGCTCTAAAGTGAAAATTTTCTTTAAAGCTATTCTCAAACTGTGTAAATACGAAACACTGAATATACAAACCACAGAGTGACTATAGACTTTCTAGGAAATTAAAAAACTTTATTTTAAAACAAACATTGCAATCATTAATTCACAAGCTTTTCTCATGATTCTTATTGATTGGTCATCAAAAAAAAACAAACGCGGTGTTTCTGCAGACAGATGTGAAAGATGATCAATACAATGAATTTATGCAAAAATGTAAAAATTATTATTTTTGACCTTTATTTAACCAGGCAAATCCCATATCACAGATCTCTTTTGCAAAGAATGCCTGGGCCTGAACAGGCAGCATTGTTGTGCTGTTGGTAGAGCTGCCCCTCAGTGAGAAGGTTGCGAGTTCAAATCCCAGCCCATGACCTTTCTGGGTGGAGTTTGCATGTTCTCTCCGTGCATGCGTGGGTTTTCTCCGGGTTCTTCGGTTTCCTCCCACAGACCAAAAACCTGCATGTTAGGTTGATTGGTAACTCTAAATTGTCCCGAGGTGTGAGTGAGAGCGTGAATGTTTGTCTTTACGTGTCGCAGTTATGGACTTGTGACCTGTTCAGGGTGTACCCCGCCTTTCGCACAGTGATAGTTGGACATGTGCACCAGTGACCCCCATGACTCAAAATGGAAGAAGTGGGTAAAGATAGTGGATGGATGGATGGATGGATGGATGGGCGGGCCTGAAGGCAGCCTAACACACATGGTTTTTAGACTGTGGAAGGAAACCCATGCAAACACTAGGAGATCAAGCACACTCCACACAGAAAGACCTCAGGCCTAACCTGGGGCTTGAACCCAGGACCTTCTTGCGGTGATGCAACAGTGCTAACCACTAAGCCAACTTGCTGCCTAAATTATGACAAAGGGAAATACAATTTATTTATTTATTTTTTTGCCCAACAGCAATATCGTCTTTATTGCTCACTACCTCTAGTATTCCCATTTACTAAACATCGTCACAGGTAAAATCTTTGAAGCTTTTTTATGTGATCAATAATTTACTGTTTTTACAAGACCATACAGGTGTATTTGACATTTATAATATTCTCTTAATATTGATTCAAGGAACCTCTAGTTTATTGTACTTATCACTATCTCCAGTAGAACATAAAGCTGTGTGTTATGTGTTTTATGTGTATTTTTGCAGTCTTTAACAGCTGCTTTAGTTAAAATCCACCTGTGGATTACAGTGTTCCTCCCATAGGAACCCAGTGCTGTTTTGTTCCTCCTATGGAAACCTTATGAACCTTTGTTAAGTTTCTTGTGTCTCTCTTTTGTATTTAGTTGCACGTTTTATTTTCTCAGATCCACCAGACCTCTCTTCCTTCACTGTTGTTGATTGTTCACCTTGGTTTATTATTTTCTGCGCTCTGTCTTTTTGTCTCTGTTTCGTTTCCATGACCCTGCTTTTGTTGTCTTGGTTTAGTTTTGTGATCTTCCTGTTGCTTTCTCTGGCGTTTCTAATCTTTCTCAACTTGGCTCCCTGAGCGTGTTGGTGATGATACTTCGGAGCCTCGGGTAGTTGGTCATTTACTTTCCAGAGTCTGCAGAAGTCATTATCCAGCTGTAATCTACAAGAACGGATCGACTTTGATTATCTCGTTTTATTTAGGCTATGGGGCTCATTCTGTTCGTCATGGGTTATGTCGTTTAACGTCTATTTTATGTTTACGTTTATAGTGTCATTCTTTAGTATTTGCCATATAGAATAATTTTAACAGAATGCTAATCGAGCTCACACACCTTTTCCACTCTTCCTGTGGGCAGCAGTAGCGTGTATCTATTTGTGCCTCTCTCATGTATAATTCACATCTGGTTGCAACAGTCAAGATTTTTCCTCGAGACTTCAGGCTGGCGTTGGTGAAGTGGTTGTTTTTTCCTCCTTTCCTTAACAATTTCTGCAACCTGATTTTGTGAAGCCTCACTGTGCAGGAGGAATTGTTTTTATTCACATACATTGTTAGTTATTTCTTAAATGGAAGAAAAGGAAAGGACGGTTATTTAAGTTATTTTGGTCCTTAAGCGTGGGTTTTCTTTAGGCGAATGGAAATGAACCATGACAATCTGGTGTTTGCCCAAAGGACGGAGGGTGATTAGTGGTTTATGAAACGCTTTGTGCTCAAATGCTGATTGATGATGTCACTGTCCATTTTGATGATGATGGTGATGAGATGGAACCAGCTAATTTAATCACAGCCTGTCCTCATTTCCTCTAATCTGTGTCCTCTGTCTGTTTGTCACAGTGTCTCTTCAGGACATCACCATGAGGAAGGCCTTCAGGAGTTCTACCATTCAGGACCAACAGCTGTTTGACCGCACCTCTTTGCCAGTCCCGCTGCAGGAGAGCCTCCAGACCTGCGAGCAGCCGCCGCCCCTCAACATCCTCACACCCTACAGGTCAGTTTTATATTACAGACAGCAGATTGCTTTTACTTATTAATGCAGCTGGCATAAAGCTAATTAAAAAAAAGTGCCAGCTGAAAGACAGACGTAGTGCAATATAGTCTCCATGCATACATACATAGGTTAGTAAACTTTATCTTGTCCAAGACATAACTTCTGATCTGCTCAAGATCATTTAATGGAACTTAATACACTTTTGTACCATCACTAGACAACATGTTACATAATATTTTCTTTCAAGGATTCAAGGTTCTTTATTTGTCATACACACCACATGCGGTGCATGTGGTGGAACGAAATTGTGTACACATGATCCCAGTTACATCCAACAAAAGTATAAAAATGTAAAAGAAAAACAGTATTAAGATCTAAGATATGAACTAAGAAAAAGGTTAACTAAAAATACGCTAAGCACTATAGTATAAAAACAATACAATGAACAGCAGCATGAACATGAGTCTGTGTGAGCAGATGAGTACAAATGAATACAGCAACATGAAACAGATCAGCAGCAACATGAAACAGATCAGCAGCAACATGATGTGATTTTTTCACAGCGATTATTCTGGTTAGATATCCATGAGTCTAACAGCCTTAGGGTAGAAGCTGTTCCTCAGTCTAGTGGTTCTACACTTAATGCTCCTCAACTTCCTGCCTGAGGGGAGCGAGGCAAAAAGTGTGTACTGGGTGAGTGGGGTCCTTCATGATGCAGGTGGCCCTCTTCCTGCATCTGGAGGTGTTCATCACCCCAGATCTAAGGTCAAGGGCATAAATGAAGGTCACATGCTTTATAAGGTCTTTGCTTGTCTGGGCCATTGTTATAGATTGCCGTATAATGGACCGTGTGCAGTACCTGTAAATGTGCAAGTGCAGAAATCTCCTTCTAGTAAACATGCAGCTCTTTTCTAACCTGTTTGAAATTCCTTCACTCCTTTGAAAAAGCTTTATCACGTCAGTGATGTGCCACAAAGAGGACATTTTGATCATTAAGTGCAACCTCCAGTGGAGAAGATTGTACATAAAGGTTTTTGTTGCTTATCTTTTATCTCATCTCTGGTGTGGGTTTTAGTATATTCTTTATAAATATGTCCATAACATTTATTTAAAGACGAGATATTGTATTGTGTTTTGACCATTTGAAGGTCTTTCCAAAAAAAAAAAAAAAAAAAGTGCATACATTTGGTAACTCTGTGCCACAGTAGCGTGATCATTTCCACATGAATCTCTTGCACTTGTCTGTTTAAAAACATCAATCAAGCATATAAGGTAGCAAGGCAAGCAATAACAAAAATGAGCCATAATGATTCTATCCAATTCCATTATTTGCACAACTATATCCATTCATTTTCAAATGCTTGTCTGAGGTTGAGTACCCAAGCCAGCAGGTTAAGGAGAGGAGCACAGACCATTCTTTCCAGTGACACTCTCCTAGCTCATACTAGGATTTCCTGGGAGTTTCATTTACCAGAGAGGATATATACCCCCTCCAGCAGGTTCTTGGTCTTCCCCAGAAGGATTAGGAGTGGCATTTCTACTCAAAGCAAAAATTGAATGCAAACAAGAGGAAGCTCCTTTCAGCCATTTGTATTTTAGATCTTGTTCCTTTGGTCATGAGCAAAATCTCATGAACATAGGTGGACCAGTAAATTGAGAGCTTTGCCATTTGGTCATCTTCTTCTTCTTTACGACAGATCGAAGCAATGCCATGCTTACACCACAAAGTTTTGATCTGTTGTTCACAAATACACTGAGATACTTAAACTTTCTGCTTGAGGCAAAGACTCACCCCCAACTCAGAAATGATAGTCATATTCTCACTCAGCTAGCTCTCAACACTTCCTAATTAGCTGATTGTGTATCTGAATATCTGTATATTCATGTCACAATGATGTCAAATCTTTCTGTTGACCAGATTTCTCCTCTTTTAGAAAAACGTCTTCACTGATCTGCATCATCCTTTAATTAACTTACAATTTGCAACAGCTACTGATTCAAGTGAGGACACACTTTTGCACCCTGTGACACAATGGCTGCATGACGAGTTTTGGAAGGATTTGCATAACGAAGTCCAGATTATCACTTAGCTTTCAACTATAATGGTAAAATCCTGGTAAAGGCTCATTTGGGCTCATTATTTGTCTCAAATATTTAATGTATTTTTAGTTGAGGGCAGTTAAAAGTGAACATGTAAAGCCTGGAACACAACAGTGTTAGAGAACATTAAATTCTGTTAGATTCAGCTTTTTGAGGTCTTTTTTTTTTTCTTTCCTCTTTTTTCCCCAGAATTCAAATGTTATTTTGTTCCCTCCCCCTCCTTATTTAGAGCTGATTTGTTCATCCCCACTGAATGGATGATTAGGTTTATCATGGGTGATGATTTCATTCCTTTGATTAATAATTTAAAACACTGCCAAGATTTTTCATCCGTTTGGTTTCTCTGCTGCTCATTCTATTTTTTCTCATACTTCTCTTCACCTTCTTCATTTTTCTTTATATTTTGTTCTTTTTTTCCCCACTGTTGCTGTCCTCTCCTCTCCTCTTATCACACCAAGAAGCTTCTGGGAAGTCTCTCCAGGCTGTTGTCTCGATACATCCAGAGCGATGCTGCTTTCTCATACACAAGCACACAAATGCACAACCCAGGCTCAATGATTTACATAAACTCTCAACTTTTACCTGCAGAGAGTACAAACGCTCATACTACAGTATCCATCTCTCCACTCTAACCTGTTTCCATTGTTGAAAGGTATTTTCCTGCCTTTGTTGTGTTGCATATATTTCATTTTTCACTCTTGCCTTTTGAAGCTGTGCCTTTTCATCTTCTATGTGCTTGCCCTTATTGATGTCATTGTCTAATAATTGCCTCCCAAGATGTGGCCTACACTGGATTTAAGCAACAAAAACAAAAAAGTCCATAAAGTTTTAATGGCCAAGTAACCTCAGATGAATTCCCTTACTTATGCAACATCAAAAATAGTCGAAAAAGTGACCTACAGCCCTGTCACAAAAAGATATATCGGGGAGATATTTGTGGTTTTTCAAAGTAAGATTGGACATGACACACTGATTGATGATGATTGATGGATGAGCCACACGTGCCCCCCCCCACCCCCCCGCATCACCCCGGGCCCCCCAGGGGGCGCGCCCCACTATTTGAGAAGGACTGGATTAAAATATCGCAAGAGTGTGGGAAAGTTTAAAATTTAAAAAAATTATATAGCTCCATCTATCCATCCATTATCTTTTACCCGCTTCCTCCATCTTGGGTCACGGGGGTCGCCTGTGTCCACGTCCAGCAATCACTGTGAAAGACCCCTGGACCAGGATTTGAACCGGCAACCTTCTTGCTGAGAGGCAGCAGGTCTAATTATATCCATATATCCTGACTGACTGACTAAAATAAGCTACTACTTGTATTACTATTCCTACTTGGCAGTTTTTCCACTTATTGTGGTGGAGCTGAAAACAGAAACCCTGGCGATAAACGAGGGACTACTGTATACAACTTTTCTTTTCTTTTTTTAAAGTCAGTGACAAATATTTGGAAGTAAGAATTGAAAATAATCAGCAGGAAAATATTTGCATATGCCATATTGATGTGAATCAACATTCCAACACGTTTTGGGACTTGTGTATATTAATTTTCTTGTCAAGAGAGACCATTTAGTTAAAACTACCTGTATTTGTTTGAGGTGTCTTTGTTTCCCTTCTTGTCATTAGGCTTGTAATGTCAGGGAGGACTCGAGGAGAAGGAAAGTTGAGAGGAAAAACCATCACATTACCTCTTATGATAAACAGGGACGAGTAGTTAAGACAAAGCAGAAAAAGAAAAGGTGAACATCGTCTTACAACATTTCACTTTTGGATTCCTCCAGTTTTTTCCAGTTCTGCAGTTCCTACTGGGGGGGGGGGGGGGGGTCATAAAATGCCTTTTTGCAGTTGGTTTACTCTTCGGGGAACCCGAAAATAAATAATTATAAATAATAAGGACATTATGACAACTGTGAATTTTATTTTACACTAAACAATTTTAAAGAGAAAGCAATGGAACACAACCATTAAAGATAATTTAGTTTGCTGACTAGTTAGTTATTTTGTTTGCAGGGATGACGGTAAGGAAGGACTGAAGTTCTACACGGATCCATCGTACTTCTTTGACCTGTGGAGGGAAAAGATGCTGCAGGACACGGAGGACAAGAGGAAGGAGAGGCGGAAACAGAAGGTACATCCACACAGCCAACTTCTTTTTGTCACACAGCAGGTGAGAACAGCTAATCTTTTTGTTTCTGTGATAGACGTTAGGCGTTTGTGTCGAATCAGGAGGACAGGAGGTGAGTGGCGACGCTTCCGGTGTTCCCCACAACCCTAAAGGTCCTGCATGAATTCACTGGCAGGAGTGACTCACTAGAAGATTCAGCTTGGCTTCATACCGCATCAACTTTTGCATTAATTAGTCGCCACTCAAAGATAAATCAACCCTTTCACTCAGTCAGCCCTCTCAGTTATTACTTGTTTGATCATTGCGTCTAATTAATGGGAGCATCTGCTTCTCACATGCCCCCACACGGTTCGTCATCTCACTGCCTTCTGCACACAGACAAGAAAAACGAATCGGCGCACACAGTCGGCTTGATTGAAGAGGTTTGCTTCCATTTGTCTCTCATCTAGTAGCCTGTTTGCGTCTCCCCCCCAACTCAAATTGAGGGGTTTTCTACGGTGGCCCTGAAGTTTAAACCACAACTACAAATTAAAAAACAGCAACATTTGAAAAAATAAAAAAAATTGAAAAACATTTGAAAAAACACAATTACATTAAGCAAAACCAGAAAAGGTAGGACCAGTGGGAAACATGAGACATCGCTGATTGGTTGAACATCCCCTCTTTTCCACCTCTTCTGGTTTCGCTTAATGTAACTGTGTTACTTCAAATGTTTCATTTTTTTCAAATGTCTTTTTTTTAATTTGCAGTTGTGGTTTAAACTTCAGGGCCACCGTAGTTTTCCCACCATCTGCACCAGGAGCTCTGATGAAGACGTTTCTCTGCGTTGGAAGTGGCTTAACAATTTGCCCCCTTACAGTCAACCACAGCTTATCACATGTCAGGGGGAGGGAGGAAAAGTTATTTTCCTGTTGATGGTTTATGCGAACGTAGAGGATGTTGTTTTGAGGTCTGTAATAGATGTAAAAATAAACGAGAGAGAAAGAGCAAGAAAAGTTTCAGCAAATCTGAGAGTAAATGCGATTTTTGTATTGATCAGCTCATTAGTTTTTGATGATCATGCATACATCTTTTTCAGTGCATTAAAGGAAGAACGAAAGCTAATTTGCTGCAGTAGGTGGACCTTATTTGCTTCAGAGGGCTAGGTTGATGTGACCCGCTGGTAGCTAAAGCTCATTCCACTGATTTAATTCTAATTAAAGCCTCGGGTGGGCTCAGCTTGTAAAGCCTCGTTCATTTCCCTCCTCGTCGCAGTGGCGCTCAGTCAGACCCCATGGAAATGCCTAGAAGACATTCACAGGGAGAGTGGGGTTAGAGTAGGAGTTGGGCACACATGTTTGTTGGTTTGTGTAATCATCATGGTGGGTGAATAATCCAAGTGAAGATCAGAGCAAATATACAACGGAGAGGTTATGAAAAACATGCACTGCTCACTCTTTTGAGTTGTTCCACTGCGTCTGAGTCATGCTCAGTTTTGTCTCTGTGCATTTGATGCTTTATTTGCAGACGTTCTTTGCACTCCATCTCATCATTTCAGCCAAAGACTCAGCAGAAACCGTTTTATCACGCCGCTCCTCAACTTCCACAATTAAAAACCACTGCTTTTCCAGTTGCTAATTCAAAGCCACATACTCACACCAACTCACAGGGACATTGATGCACACATGCTCATGTTTAAAAAGATCTAGTAAACCATGATGTGCAACGCCGCTGCAGTGTCAGGGACCTGACATGCCTCGCCACCTGTCAATCACGGTGACTCCATGTGAAACTGGCTGCCAGCACATTTTGTGCCATGACAAACTGTGTTTTGGCTCTTTAGCATTTCTCTCCTCAGTAATGTTTTTTTTTTTTTATCCCTCCACCCCCAAAGTTTAAAATCCTGGCTGAGTCATTTTGCAGTTATCACAATGGCCACGTGTTAGCAATCTCTTACGAGAAATGACTAAATTAATGTTTAGGACAGAGTTCTATTGTAAAGAGCTTATATAATGCACGAAACTGGGCACAGCTCATAATAATCAACTGGCTATGAAACATTTCGACAAAAGAAAAACTGCCACACTTCTCCCGTTTTGATTAAATTTATATTTGTTTGCTTTTTTATATAATATGCAGTGTATAATAAGAAACTTTGTGCCATAACCAACCTTGTCTTCTCACGCTTTGGTTACTAAAGTTCAGAAATAAAAAATGAAAACAAAACAAAAACAGCAGGATATCCCATTTTAAGAGAAATGAACACAATATTTAACCTTTAACGCATGCAATTTCACACATTAAATTAGCTATGAAAGGTCAGTTTCTCAATTAAACCTTTTATTTTCGTCAGTAAAGATGTAAACTCTGCACTGCACGATGAAAAAACTGCGTGAAATCGCAAAAATAAAGTACCAATATTGTATCAAGATGTGAAGTAATCAAAAAAATAAATTTATTGTTTTTATTAAAGATATTTTAGCATAAAATAATTGTGTTAATGTTGGAGACGCTTAAAAAAAAAAACCTCATTTAATACCAAAAATGTCGACATAAAAACAGAACATGCAGCCCTTTATTTTATTTTGTCAACTTCAACTAAACTTAGCACAAAAAGTAAAGAAATGTGTGTTTATTTTTTGATTGTATCAATATTTATTGGCATCGGCAGAGAAGCTTTGACAATTTTTTATGGACATTTTCAACTCAACGCACAAAATGCATTTTCGTAACAAATGCGGCACCATTTAATGAGAAATAAACCGGCTTTTCAGTTATGTAAGGTGTATGCCAGGAAGCGTTGTTACAATAAAGAACTAATCAATCAAACCCAAACATCCCTATTCCTTTATTACGTCACATGGGAAGTATTTGGTCTCAGCTGAGACTTAAAGCATCGTTTGCCGTCACAAACAGGAGTCTGTAACAAATGATGGGCAGCATGAGGCGCTAAGAAAGCTGCTGGGTCTTAATCTCATTAGCTTCTGTGTTAGCCTCGGCCTCAGTGGATTAGATAGGAAGACTGTAAGAAGAACAACTCAGGGAATGAGTAGAAAAAGAATACCTGTAGTTGCCTTTTTTTAAGATCAGTCCAGACTTGATCAGGTCTGTTCCAGACATCTGAATCTCCTCTGGCTCCTTCACTCTGATTCCAGTCTCCATGTATTGTCAGTATAATTTCTTACCATTTTCCCCACACTGCACATTTATTATTCCCATACAATGACAAAATTTGTGCCCTGCATTTGACCCGTCACACGCGAGATACACCCAGGTGGAGCAGTGGGCAGCCATGTAAGCGCCCGAGTGTCTTGCTCAAGGACACCACGACATACGGGCATGACGGGGAAGCAAACCCGTGACTTTCTGGTCCCAAGTCAGCATCCAGACCACACAGCCGCCCGCTCTAAAATAGCACAGCATGTCATGATCTCAGCTCTCTGCCAGCGCTCTCAGCCACGCCCACTTCTCCGCTGCAGAGCGGAGATATGACACACTGCAGGAGGAAGCTTCTCCTGCAGCTGTGGGCTGCACACAGGTGCTAAATGATTTAAAATAATTCATTTGAAATAAAAAAATTCTCTGCCAGTCGTGTGGCTCATCCATCAATCAGCCAATTGTGTGTCATGTCCAATCTTCTTTCGAAAAACCGCAACAGAGCGAGTCCGCAATAAACGAACCGTGAAGTAGTGAGGGACTACTGTATTTATTTGTGCACCAAAAACACAAAGTTTTCAGAATATTATCCTACAGTTCTTTAAAAAGAAGAACATTTTTGGGCCGTTTCTCATTAAAATAAGTGGTGGACAGTTGTTTCACGCTAAGGAGCCATTTTAATAAAGCCACTAGAAAATATTTTTATTTCCTGGCTTATTACGGCAAAATGATTAGAGACAACATATCTCTTAGCAAAAATATTAATCGATCCAACAGAAAGATGTTAGCCAAGGCTTAAACACAAAAAAGGCTAAAACATTAAGTTTGATATTTTATTTGTGCTTAGAGTTTATGGGCTTCTATTCGTGTCAGCAGTTTGTGTAATCTTTGAAAGCATTTGTGTAATTCTTTGCAACATCTGCTATTTAAGATTTATGGTATGTAGATATCAAATGCTGATTCAGAGCGCCAAAAATTGGTTTTGAAAACTTTTTTATGCTTATTAATAAGTAGATACATCCAGTTATACCCACGTAATTCAGTTTAATTAAATGTATTTATGTATTTTCAATTCACCATTCATCCACAAAAGGAAGAAAAAAAAAACAACAAGTCCAAACCATAAAACTAATTCAAATCCCATTACAGACAATTCAGTTCTTATTAAATAAAATGCAGTCACATACAGGACATTATGGAAAAGTTATCTAAGCCAGCAGATCGTGTAAGATCTTCACTTTGCTGTAATCCCTCATCCTGAGCACCACATTAGTGACCGTGGAAAGGAGTGACTTCCTCTTAACAGGAAGAAAATCTAATAGAACCCGGCTCGGGGCGAGCGGCCATCCAGACGGTTAGGGTTTGAGAGGACAGGAAGGAGACGCAGACTAAGAATTAGTCCATGTGTGGTTTCTTTAGGAAGAAAGACAACAACACTGGGTAATGGCAGCAACAGCTGCACATACAAACATGGAGGGTAGAGAGAATGAAGACAGCAGAGAGGAATATTGTTTTTCTAAGCCTATAGCAGCATAACTATGATCAGAAAACCCAAGACAACCCCTAACTATAGAGAATGGGCAACCACGTAATGGCGCATTGCATTCTGGGTTGTGGTCGCCATTTTAATGGACTCGCAAAACCTATCAAAAAGGCAAGTCTTACACTAACTCTTAAAATTAGGCAGGCAGCTTCACAGACAGCCTGAACGCTGAAAGCTCTCAGTTCCTGCACTAAAGCAGGAATCTTCAGTTTCTGGTGTGATTCATTTTTAACAGTCTTTGTAGTCGGTGCGATTCCTACCTCCTTCCCCTTTTCAGCAGCTGTAAGTGTGAATTTAACTTGTTATCTGATGGGGGGAGTGGAAAAGTGAGAGCTCGTTTGGGTGCTTTAATTAGCAATGATTTAGATGATGTTCTTACATTAAAAGGGACAGATCAAATCTTTTGACGTGAGGTTCAAATGATCTAGAGATTTAGAGTTCAACTTTATTTCTCCAAACTGAAGTCGTTAAAAGAGCTATCTGCAACAGGTAGGATATTATTTTTCTTCAGAATCTTTTTCACAGATCTCTCTAAATAAAATAATATTTAGGTATTCTAAATCCAAAAGTGATATTATGATGGTTTAATAGCTGAATAAGTCAGGACTAGTGCCATAAAATGGTGTGCAGCTTGGAAGCGAAAACAAAGGCAAAAATTCAGCTTTTGAGTCTCTTTTTTTTTTTGTTATTATTATTTTAACCTTTCTATTTTTGCTTTTTTCCTAAATCCTGCTCTTTATGTAACTCTGCGCAGCTGGAAATGCCTTATCTTGTGTGTCCCAAGAGTCTTTCTGAAACCCCTCCTCCCTTCCTTACTCCCCCAGAGGTAAGAACTTCTTCCGTCTCCCTTCGTCAGAGCATCTGCTCCCTGTAGCGGCAGCCTGCAGCCCATCCCACCCACTCACTCCACCTTTCCACTCCTTACTCTGGTTTGCTCCGGGCAAGTGATCTGCCCACTTCCAGCCTGTTACTAACCCCTTGAGCACACCTGCATCCCAGTCCTACCTCAGGGTTGGCCAGCAGTTCTCCACAGTGATTACTTTTTGTGATGAATCTCCCACGAACTTGTAAACATCACCAAGGCACGGCATGCAAACAGCGGCTGTGTTCTAAACACAAGTTACGAGTCAGTGCATCCACTTTTACTGGCTTTATTTAAAAGAAACACGCAGCTGATGTAGTTGGTGTAGAGTCATTTTGTCTCAACGCTAAGCTGTTTTGACCGTATATGTTTGCTTTAAAAAAAAAATATATATATATATATATTTGAAATTCTGTGTTTATTTATCTGTATTACACTGCAGAGAGTAATATAACAAACTGAACCAAAAGCTGCTGGACTTCCTTTTTTACTGTTGAAGCTCCACATCTCTCAGTTTCCACACCTTCTTAGATCATAGAGCTAACATGAAACAAGAAATCCAGTTTCCTTTGATTCAGATTGTTGCGAATAAGGTACTGGAAACACAAAAGAATTTGGGATAGTCACAAATAATTCGCTTTACTAACCGCAAGACCTCAAAAACTTTATTTCTGCATTTTACTTTTCTTTAATCGGACTAACATTCCAACTACTGTTTTGCACAATAGCTTCTCCTTGGATTGTGCTTGAAATAAATTAACAAATAAACATCCATCCATTATCGTTTACCTGCTTCTTCCATTTTGGGTCACAAGGTAACAAATAAACAACAAATTAAAATCTAAAACCTGTTACATAGTCGCATAAAGCTTTATGTCCAAAAGCAGATCAACGTCTGCAATTCCAATACTTTTAGAATATGACACCAAATCTAAAGATGTTGGTTTGCTGTGTAAAATATAAATAAATATAATGCAATGATGTGCAAATCTCGTAAACCCATATTTTATTCAGAGTAGAAACTGTGCAATTTTTAAGAAGAAGAACAAGATAAGTTTGAATTTGAAGGCAGCAAGATATCTAAAAAATTGTATAAAAATATTAAAAAATATATATAAATAAGTGGTAGCAGCTGGAAGAGCATTTTGCAACTAGTTTTATTTGGCAAGAGGCCAGTAAGAAGACTGGATGTAAAACACCATTTTAGAGTCTGAATCTCTCAGAAGTAAAGACGGGCAGAGGTTCACCAGTCTGCAAAAAACTGTATTCAAATATAGTAGAACAATTTCAGAAGAATGTTCCTCAACAGAAAAACTGGGAATACTTTAGATATCTCACCATCTACAGTTCATATTCTCATAAAAAGATTTCAACTAGCTGGAGAAATCTCTGCGCTCAAAGGGCAAGAGTAAAAGTCGATGTTTGATGGTGGGGATCTTCAGCCCCTCAGCAGCTGTGCATTAAAAACAGCTCACATTCTGTTCTGGGCATCACTGCGTGGACTCAGGAACACTTCCACAAATCAGTTTCTGTGAAGCTCATCATGTCATCCACAAATGGTGTTCAAAAGCTCAGTCATGCACAGAAGAAGCCATATGTGAACAGCATCCATAAATGTTGCCGTTTTCTCTGAGCCAAGTGTTGTTTAAATTGAACTGAGGCTAAAAGAAAAACTGTGCTGTAGTTGTACGAATCAAAAATTTTAAATCTGTTGGGGGGAAAAAAAATACAGATGCCACATCTTCTGTAAAGAAGAGATGAACTATAGCCTGCTATCAGCTCAAAGCTCAAAGCCAGCCTCTCTAATGGTATAGGGGTACAGAAATGTTTCTGGCATGGGCAGCTTAAACATTTGAAAAGGCACAATCAAAGCAAAAAATGATGTACAGGTTTGAGCACAATATGGACTTTCATTCAGGTTACATTGTTTTCAAAGAAGGCCTTGCATATTTCAGCAAAACAATGCCAAAACCCCATACTGCCTTCATGACAACTGCATGGCTTCATAGTTAAGTCCAGGTTCTGAACTGGCCTGCCTGCAGTTCAGTCCTCCCAACAATTAAAAACATTTGATTCAACCTGAAACAAACAAACACAACAACAACAAAGATGCAGGACTGCTGAACAGTTACCATTCTACATCAGACAAGAATGGGACAACATTCTCCTCCAAAATAGAGTTCATTCGAGCCTAAAGAATCCGACCCAGGCCCCAGCCCATAGCCATTTTTTCTGAACTCAACCCGACAATTAACTAATTACAGGCCCGATCCTGGAAAAAAAAAAAAAAAAAAAAAAAAAAAATTAAGCTTTTACTGCTTTTGTAAGCAAATCAGTTTGACATTTAAAAACGTATTTCAAAGAAAGGAAGATATAAGATTTCTGGTTTATTAACAAGTCACCAAATGGATATTAACAAAACTGTCTTAAAAAACAACTGTAAAAATAGTCTACTATACAGATGAACAAACATATTTTTGGAAATACTCTCCGTCCGTCCAAGTTGAGGGTGCGATTACTGGAAAAATAAGCAACGGCCCAACTTCCTTTTTGGTGTATGGCTGCATCTAGGCATAAGAAAGGTTCCTATTGAAAACTGGGTTGCCAAGTCAAAATCCAAGATGGCCGTGGCTAGCTAGCTAGAGAAAGAAAAAAAAAATAAATTAAAAAAAAAAAAAAATATATATATATATATATATATATATGTTGTGTTTTCAGCAGACCTCTTTTAGAGCTGGTACGGTGGTTGTTGCACAGCTGCAATTCTGCTGAGGCTGTCTCTATATTCACAAGCACAAAACCATCAGACACACATGCACACAACAGCACACAGCTCAAGTGCATACGCGCATGTAGGCACTCATACATAAAAATACATAAATCAAGTTGCTTTGACTCACACGCAGGACTTTCTCTGCTGTAACAAGTCCATTCGAATGAAAGATGACTGCTCGGTTGAGACACAAAGCTCAATAAAATTGGCTACATTTATAACAAATGCGACAAGTGTGCACACGCGTCTGCACACACAGAGAGAAATGCACAGTTTCCCCATTTCTGTCATGTACACACTTCTGTTGCTTGTTCATTCTCTTGTTTTTTCTTCCATTCATTGCAGCATTTAAACTTTCACCATGATGCTCTTTTATAGAACATTCTTATTTGACCAGCATTCCTTCCATTTCACTTCCCACTAAATATTAATAAAACAAATACCCTTACAATGACCATAGAAATAGAGAACATGCTATAACATTATACATATTTTTATCATGTTCACACACTTTTGCCGTTACTTAAACCTTTTAGGTTAATCAGACGTCAAAGTAGAAAAGCCATCTTAATTAAATGGTAGCATGCAGCTATAGGCTAAGCACAACCAGAAGCCCAAATTTAGCCTTTTTAGCTAACGTTTAGTTGAATACTGTGTTTAGTTGGATTAGAATGTAGTAGTGTGTCTTTATGTATGAAGCCATCACTTCTGTCATGAGAAATGAGAATCAAATCAATGAGCTTTAGGAGTTCGTCTCAGCAGCCTGGCTGCAGCGGTGTGCAAAGTCAGCATGATTTAGGTATGCAGGAGGAGACGCTTTCCACAACCCATGCCGCGTTACCTCGAAAGAGCACCATGTTTCATTTAAATATCAAAATAGAGCAACGTGGGTCATACTGAACATCCTACAGGACCTGTGTAAAAGAAACGTGTACTCAAATTTCATAGGCGTTCATGCAAACGCCATTTTATTCAACGTCAAGTTGCCATCATTGTTGCATTACAGTCTACGCTATGGCTTTATTTTATTCACTTAAATTCAGACATTGATTTATTTTTCACTTCAGTGACCTGCTCTCCGAGTCACTGTGAGCAAAGAATGGTGTCACCCAGTGGTGTAGTCTACTTTTTTGTAGTGGGTATACCGCGGTTAGTTTTACATTGGACACCGTTGAAGCCACGGAGCGCGAATGTCCAACGTTCAACGTAAAACTAACTTTACCGTGGTCAGTCCGATACTGTGCTTAGAAACCAAAGTACACTGGTTAGTACAATGTAATCGTCAATTTATTTGGATTTTTAAGCATATTGAACATTTCCAAATTTCTCTGATGCTTATGTTTGAATAAATGAACAACAAACTTTGTACAACAGTTGGCTTTGTATTAAAAACATGTTACAGAATTTATACAACAGTATCAAAGCAAAACATGACGTACAGAAGTATTAATTATATAATAATTTGCTGGATAAGCGAATATAATAAACAAGCGCTGCATACAAATAGATTGTTACGAAGCGTTTGCTGTTTAACGTATCAGTGTGTGCCTAATGATGTGCCGTGTAGCACTGGGCACTTTTAAGTGGGTATACTGAAATTCTTAAGCTTTTCTAGTGGGTATACTCTGTAGACCTGCGTATCACGTAGACTACACCACTGGTGTCACCAAAGACTGATGTTCTATCCAGCTGTGTTTGCATATTGTGGCACAAGTCGACACATCTGTTGTCATAAACACAGACCATCCATTCTGCTGCTGCAGACACACACCGCGCAGACTTCACCGCTGCAATCGTTCCCAAATATATTATTTACATGCATGAATATGTATTTGCTCAAATGTGCGTCTTTTTTTTGTTTTTCAAAACTATAATAATAATAATAATAATGTCATCACAATGTCAGCACTGTATGTTTCCATACAATGGCGAAATTAGTCTCTGCATTTAACCCATCCACCACCAGGTGGTGCAGTGGGCAGCTATTGAAAGCGCCCGGGGGACATTTTGGGAATTAGACGTGCTGCCCAGAGACGCCACGTGATGTGCAGTGACTGGGGATCGAACCTGGGACTCTCGGGTCCCAAGCCGGCTGCCCTGCCTCTACACCATTTCTTAACTTGAGATTTACATGTGTTGTCATTCATTGGAATACACTGGCAACCATTTATAAAAATTAGGAGACAAACTTATTGTTTTGTGCTTTATTTATTTATTTTTTCCCCCATAAATCGTCCTTGGCTGTAAAATGCTCAGGTGAAGGGTCTGATATTTGTTTGGATTATTTGTCAGATAACGTGATGTTTTTCAACATAATGCATTTTGTCTAGAGGTTCAGGTTGACTCAAGTAACTTATGATGCTAGCTCAATGAAATGTTCTAGTGTATATGTTTGTATTAATATTTTTGCCATCTTATTAATTTGATTTGATCCCAGTGTGTGTTTAATTTTGTTGTGCATGTCTGCCGTAGCTCTGAAAAGTCTCAGAAAACATTTTTCTAGTTTGTCCACCTGTTCCAGCGCTCTCTTTCCTTTCTACCTCATGTTTGGGATGGAGTGTGTGTGTGTGTCTGTGTGCAGGATTGCCTGCCTGTATTGTGTCAACCCCCCCCCCCCCCCCCCAGGCGCACACACACACACCGTCATTTTCTGTTTAGCAGCACTTTTCTCCTCTTTCCCTCTTTTGTCTCACTTGTTTTCACCACTCAGTTTTTTGTCCCTGTTGACCACGTCCAGCGGTGTTGTGCTCGTTGCTGTGCCGTTTTATTTTGAGTGCCCTCCCCTCACCCCTGCTGCTTCTCTTGTGGTTTTTTTGTTCTTGTAGTTGCAGGACCCCCGCATGTATGATCAGGTCTATAGGTACTTAGACCTTCCAGGGCAGGTATGTGGAAAAACACTGATTTTATTTTATTGTGTGTGTGATTTCAGCTTCACAAGCTCATTCAGCTCAGGGTTTGTTTTCCCCAACTTTTATTTCTTGCACGTCAGTTTTATGCTGAAATCTTGGAGACAGTGTGTTGAGAATTTTAATGATGCGCACTTTTTTTTTTAATTTGTTGCTCTTTTATACTAACTTTAATTCAAGATAAACATTACATTGATTTGGTCAATTTAGTTTTTTTTTTTTTTTAAACAATTTCCAGTCAATGTTTTTCCCTAAAAGAATTGATGCAATTTCTGTCTTCAGAGATCTGATTTAATTTGCTTTTTAAATAACACGTTCTCAAAACGAGTAAAGGGAAGGCTGAAGTCCCAAATGGTTTTGTGTATAGATATTTATCAGTACATAAAAAGGTAAATCTAGTGACTAATAGTTGAAAAAAATCAAATCTTGGCACAGCTCTCAACTTTACTTGTTTTTAGTGAGGAAGAAGCTGTCACCATTTGTTTGTCTTCTGAAATAAAATATATTTTCATCTATCTTCTCTCCCTCTCATCACCTTTTATTGTTCCCCCCCGCCCCCTCCATCCTCAAATTATCTGTCCATCTTTCATTGGATTCTCACCATCATGCACATCCTACACCGTTCCATCCCATCCCTTTAACCGTCTCCTCGTCTCGGGGCCCAACGAAAGCTGAAGGCGATCGACCGCCCGCCGGAGCTGGACAAAATACCACGGCAGCCGCACGATCGCAAGAAGGAGTGGCAAAAACTGGCGCTGGGCGCAGAGCTCGCCCAGGACGCAGCAGAGGACAAACACAGAGAGGTCAACGGTTCGGCCGGTTACCACGACAACAACAGGTATGTTGGATGCTGTACCTCTTGAAGTTTGTTTTTTTTGTAAGCAGGAGTCAAATGATGGACGTAATGTTCACAGAGAATGTCGAACTGATCAATTAAATACAACAGTGTCTGTAAATCACTCAACTACAAAAGTAGGCTCACTGTTTCTTTTAGCTAGAGCTGAAATGATCGAGTCCCATAGTGGTGATTGTCTGCATTGTGGCTCAAAGCGCCACTGCTACTCGAGTTCGGTAATTTTCCTGCCAGTCATTGTAATTAATATTAGATTTTATGCAAATTGATAGCATGAATACTCGACAGAAAATCTTTTCTGCGAGAATAGAAGAATGGATTTCATGGAAATGGATGCCACAGCTTGAGCAGGCCACACGTAGATGGCTGAAAATGGATCATTCGTGCCATCATTGATTAATAGTTTCATACGTTGAGCCGACTCAACTCGTCAATAGGAAAATCATAACTATTATTGACAATCTTATAAATAGGATACACCATTCAGCCTAGCGTAGGAGCCTCTTAAGGAATACAACACGAAATATTACAGAATTTCATTATTTATCTATCAAAATCCAAAACAATTAATTATCTATAAGAGTGGAGATGAACGTTGACCCACTCTTCTTTACAGCGTTACTTCAGTTCATTGAAATTTGCAGAAGTCCTTTTATGCACAGCTCTCATATCATCTCACCGCTGTATTTAAATCACTGTAAGGTGCATGAGGGAAATCCATTCTCTTTTGGCTTTTTGGCCGTTTGGGATCAGCGTCCCCTTCAACGACCCAGTTCTAACCAGGCTTCAGCTGCTGCACAGCCTCACGTGACTCCAGAACACTTTGGTTTACAGATGAGCTCATGGTTTACTCCATCACTGGACGTTTGCTCAAGTCCTGTGGATACTGAAACAAGCCCAAATCATCAACCTGCCACCACTATGCCTGGCATGCCTGGGTGCTTGTGTTGATACGCAGCATTTAGTTTTTACTATATTTGGCGCTGTCAGTAGGACCAAACATCTCCACTTTGGTTTTGTTTGCCTCAGGGACATTATTCCAAAAGTAATTTTATTTTTTTTAAGAGAACATCTTTTCCTGCCAACCCTACCTATCAAGACGTACTCTGTCTTTTTCTGGTTTGTAATCAACCTGTGATGGATCATGTTGGCATTAATCCATAATTAATTGTGCTTTAAATAGGCAGAAGTCAAATGATTACATGAAGCCTGTTCATTTTTAACAGACAGAGGTGTTGTGTCAAGATGTGTTCCCCTGCTGAGCTTTGCCTCCCTTCTTAAGTATACTAGATTTCCAGCCATTATGTGTACCCTGCTATAATGGACAAAACTTAAAATACCAGTACCTGAAGTAAAAGAAGCTAACAAAAAACAGCAAATCTGTTGGAAAGAGATCCTAACATGGTTACGGAATGACGGCTTAGATTCTTGTCCATACGTTTCCTCCAACATTTAATTATTTCTTGTAAAATATAGCAGACAACCTGTCTCACGCCAGAGCAGCTTAAAAACACTTGCATTGTTTGTTTTTTTCTTCAGATGGCTGTGTGTGTTCTGTTCAAATGTGGTAAACAAAACAAAAAAAACTGAAGTACTCTCATACTTTAGATCTCTTTGACCTTTGTAAACTTTTATACTCGGCTCGTTCGACACTGTAGCGGCCACAGACTCTGCTTTTTCTGCCACTGATGTTTAAAACTGCAGTTGTCACGTGTAGACTGGACTATTGCAATGGTTTGTTATCTGGTGTCCAAATACTTCTTTAAAAAGTCTTCAGTTAATCCAAAATGCTGCTGCCAGAGTCTTAACTGGAGTTAGTGGGAAGATCATATCTTTCCAGTTGTAGCTTCTCTCCATCTCCAAGTCCAGAAATTAATTCAAACTTTTACTTCTAACCTACAAAGCTCTCAAAGACCTAGCTCCATATTCGAGATCTTATTGTTCCATATTTTCCTAACACAGCACTTCACTCTCAGACTGTAGGTTTACTTGTGGTTCCTAGAGTTCCCAAAAGCAGAAAGGCAGGAAGATCTTCCAGTTATCAGGCTCCTCTCTTGTAGAAACAACTTCCAGTTTCTGCCCATTAGGCTGACACATTGTCCAGTTTTAAGACTGGGATTAGGACTTTCCTTTTTGATAAATAGTTAGGGTTGGCTTGTTATTCTGCCTTAAGCTTAGACTACTGGAGGACAAATTGACCCAATTTCCTTAAATTAATTGTTAAATTTAAATAGTTTTCATTTGATACTATTTCTATCTTAACATGTGATTCTTGACCTGCCATTGTGTATCTGTTCCTCTCAAACCCAGCCGGTCGAAGCAGATGGCCACTTGTCCTGAGTCTGGTTCTGCTAAAGGTTTCTTCCTCATGAGGGAGTTTTTCCTTTCCACTGTCGCCTTCATGCTCGCTCAAGATGAGAGTCTGCGATGGAGTTAAACTCAAAGCAGTCTGCTCCTCAGATAATTAATCTTAAATTATTATTTTTACATAGGAATGTTTCTGTTCAGTGTCCTGAGACGACTTCTGTTGTGACTTGGCGCTTTATGAATAAACTGAATTTAATTTAATTTAAAAATGTTGGTCGGATGGAGCCAACTCACATTTGTTTGATGGGCTTCAAATGGTTTAGAAATAGCTTTACAACTGTTTCCAGATTGATGCATCGTAACAAATGCTGGTCTGAGATCATCGTTGAAGTCCTTCCTTCTTGCCATTGTGTTGAAAAACTCCTGACTCTCCAATTCAACAAACTACTGAAGCTCCTGCCTGATGGTGTGCGTTAATCAAGTGTTAATCAAGTAAATTAGATTAGAAAACAGACACTAATCACAAAAGTGCAATTTCCTTTTATCTCGACTGAATTTCAGCGGAAACATCGAGGGCTGGGGAAGTGATGTTGCAAGGAAGTATCAGATTCAAATCCAATGTAACAAACGTGAACCGGGTTGTGTGCTTTGTGTCTGTTCAGGGCTCCTCTGTACATGGAGCAGCTGGACGGGCCCTTCTCGCTGGCGGCGCTGCCCTACAGCCAGATGAATGAGCTGCTGAACCGCACCGGGGACAGAATGTATTCCCGACCCCATGACCCTCCGCCGCCTCCACCTCCCGGGCACCCGCTGGGAGAGATTAAGCCTCCCTCTGTGATCAGGTGGGGCAGCAGACAGCAAATGGTCTCAGTGTACAAGCACACACACACGCACACACACACACACACTCCCTTCTCTTGTTTTATTATTGATCGTCTCACGGCCTGACACATAGTTTTTTTTATTCTGTTTCGTTTGCCAAGATGAAGATTTTCTACTTTTATGACCAGAGAAGGGGTGGAGGGTTGGATTTTTCAAACTGAAAACAAAAGCTAAGAAAAAAAAAAAAGAGTTTGAAAAGGACAGGATCTATAGTTGACTTAAGGCCAACGAGCTCATGAAAGACTATTTTTGCTCCTTTTTATCAAATGTTCTGCCGTTTGAGTGGTTATCAGAGGGACCCAAATAGGAATGGGCTGAGGATTTCTTTCAGTCCTTGCACCCCTCTTCTCCTTCAGCCCCCCACTTTTTGCTTTAAAAAATAAACCTCTGTGTCAAAGTTCATGCTCAATAATCCAGGTTTAAAAAAATCTAACAAAGTTCAGTCAGGTCATCGGGACGGTTTCTTTTTGTTTGAGACATTTCATCCTTCATCCAAAGGACTTCATCAGTCTGAGGAGCCACAACAAACAGTCCCACAAGCAGCACACTCACATCGTGGACAAACCAGTTTGCTGGTGGTAAGAAAACAACAACAACAAAACAAAAAAACGTCCAGATGACCTGACTGAACTTTGTTGGGTTACCTTCTTTGTATAAATCATCACTTGGACTTGAGTTAATATTATTCAGATAATAAGTGTGTTTAGAGGAAATATGCCACTTTATTTTGTATCGCCTTCTCTGCGTCTCGTGGTGATTTTCGTCTGCAGTGCAGTTTTCTCTTCGGGAGGAACTATTATTGCGAGCATGGCGCTCGTCGTGTCCTAACGTCCTGGTTAGCAGCTACTGTATAAACCCTCGCAGCTTCAGTGAACGGCCAGCAACATTCTGCCTCAACGAGATCTAAACGCTGCGGGACTGTCGGCGCTGCTTGTTGACACAACTCGTCTGATCATTTAATCATTTTTCAGGCTCTGTAGCTCATTTATCGTGAATTCATGTGGAGAGATTAGCTTTAGTTGAAGGGAGCAAACGTGGATGGTGACATGTGCTTCCTCAGAAACTTTATTGTTAAATGTTTTACTGTTTTTATTAATGAGCTGATATTTTTGTTTTATTTTAAGCCTTTATTTCTTTATTGTTGCACAGCACTTTGTGATTGTATCTATGATAAGTGCTATATAAATAAAGTTTACTTACTTACTTCCTTTATTGTCAAAGGTTTGGTTTTCCACACGGAGCATGATCAGTGGATTGTAGCAGGTTTAGTGCTGTAGTCCAGTTAGTGTTCGTGTCAGGAGTTTGTCCAGGACTAAGTGAGTTTTTCAGTTTTTAGAGCCGGAGACTTTATGACTGAATTGTGTTGAAAGGTGTTTGAGGAGAGAACAGTCTGATTAAAGCACTTCTTCTTGTTTCCTCCTCAGCTCCAGTTCAGGTTTTTCCGACAGCAGACCTCAGTCTCCGGCGAGGACAGCAGGCTTCAACTCCAGCACTCCTCCGCCTCCTCCACCCCCACTTCCACCCCCTCCTCCCCCCTTACCCTCCACGGGCCTGCGGGGCACCCCTCCCCCTCCTATCCCTCCCCTGCCAGTCCAGCATCAGCCTCCAGCCATCCCGCCTCCCCCTGCTCCACTTCAGATCGCCCCGGGCGTTCTCCACCCGGCCCCGCCGCCCGTGGCGCCGCCCCTCCACTCCTCGTCTCCAGCCCGTCTCCACCACGTCCTGGACAAGGGCTCTGGGACCCATTCAGACGGCACCATCCTGCCTCCTCCCCCACCGCCACCTCCTCTGCCCCTCCCCGGAGCGCGGAGCTCGCCGCCCTGTTCGTCGGGTCCTCCGCCTGTGCCGGCTTTCCCCTCAGCCGGAGCCATGGCCTTCCCGCCACCGCACACCACTCACGACGTGGTGACCAAGAGGCACCATCCATCCAACCTGCCGCCCATCAGCGACGCACGCAGCGTCCTGCTGGAGGCCATCAGAAAAGGTGGATAGTTTTAGGAGGTGTTCCCTTCAGTTTCCAAAACATACAGAATTTCATATGTCAGTTTATTCATAAGTAACTTTTCTGTTTTATTAAATCAAGTTACTGTATTTTCTGGCGTATAAGTCGCAGGTTGTTTGTTTTTTTTTTGCATAAATTTGTCAGTCCTGCAACTTATATTCTGAAGCAACTTTATATTTTTTTCCATATTCATAACGCAGTTTTTTACTTAAATTTCAAAGAAGTGTAACAGCGAGTCCTCTCGTGCGCGCTCGTTTCACTCAGCTGGTGCAGGCAGAGGAGCGCTGGAGAGCTCGCGGCTCCGGCTGGGAGGGAGGGAGGGAGGGAGCCCAGGCAAAATGCAGCAGTTTTGACCATTAAATGAACGTGATGGGTCAGTGGTGACGCATAATAAATGAGACATACACACCAAAGTGACTTGTAAGCTGGAAAATATTGTTGTTTAAGTTATGGTTAATCTTCTAAATATCTAAAAGCTTTCTGTTTAAAGATATAATTGTAGCTAAACACATGTAGGATAGTCATTTTTAACATTATTCTAAACCATCTAGGCTGATTGAATTGCTGTGAAATATTCTTTAAAGTTTGTTTGTGGCTCCGTCTGACATTAGTTTGTCTTCAGCAAGTGAAGGTTCCTATGGATCAAATACTCGAGTCAGATTTTGTACAAATATTTATTTTTTTGCCTTCTAGTTGCCTCTACTGTGTTATAAGTCGTCTTTTTTTCCCCCATTATTTATTTATTTGTTGTCTTTGCTGTAAAAGTGCTCGAAACGGTTTTGCTGAATGTGAGCAGACGTTCTCTCTGTGGATTTCAGACTTCATCCAACAGCTTAGGTCTTAATTAGTGACACAGAGGTGTAGAAATGCCTTTCAGTTCCTGAAATTTATCAATTCTGTGCACCTTCTCTTTGAAATCTGCTTCAGCATACTCCATGTTGATCTTCAGAGTCAGAGATTCTTTGTTGTCATTCGCACCTCATGTGGTACATGTGGTGGAGTGAAATTATGTACACAGGGTTCCAGTTACATCCAACAATAAAATGTAAAAGAAAAACAATGATAACATCTAAGATATGAACTAAGAAAAACATCAACTAAATATACACTAAGCACTCATAGCATTAAAACATTACGTCGAACATCAGCACAAACAGTCTGTGTGAGCAGATGAGCACGCATGAACACATCAATGAAATCTTATGCTACTTTTAGCATTCAGCTTGCTTGTTGCTAATTGTATCGTTTAGCTAACCCTTTGAAGCTTTAACTAGTTTTACTACTTCTAGTTTTTAGGTAGTCTATTATTCTTAACTTGTACTTACCATTTTCAGACTTTTAGCTAAAACCTAGCCTATTGCTGCATTTAGCTTTTACTTAGCCTCTTGCTACATTTAGCTTTTGGCTAGTGTTTACTACTTTTAGCTTGTTGGTATCATTTTGCATTTTTAGATATTTAGTGGGTTGCCTTAGCTTTAAGTTGTCGTTTCCCTTCTTTTAGCTTTGAGCTAGTTTTTTGCTACTTTTATCTTTTACTTCGTGTTCTGCTTTGTTTAGCTTTAACACCTCAGTTCCAGCTTCTTCAGTAGTCCTTCAGGACGCTGTTCTCATTGCATTATTTTTCCCAGAAAAAGGCCATTCATCTAGTATATGTGTAATCTGAATGTGTTTTTGTATACATTCAAGTAAAAAAAAAAAAAAAAAAACATCACTTCCTGAATACGCTTAAACATTTTTTTTTATTATTTTTTTTAATAGCCTTGATTTTTTAGTCAGAACCTAAAGTGTCTCATTGTTATTGTTTGTTTTTGCTGCAGGCATCCAGCTGCGAAAAGTGGAGGAGCAGCGAGAACAGGAGGCTAAACACGAGCGGGTCGGGAACGACGTGGCCACCATCCTCTCGCGGCGCATTGCTGTGGAGTACTCCGACTCCGAGGATGAGTCGGAGTTTGACGAAGGAGACTGGATGGAATGATGGAGGGAAAACAAGAGAAATCAGCGTTGGTGGTTGAGGACAAAACATTTTCAGGTGCCCCGGCCTCCACGGCTCACCGTCAAAGAAGAGAAGCGTCTTGTCATATCTCTGTTCGGTGGAGAGTCTCCACGTCATTCTCATTCATCTGTCTGGTGTTTCATAAGCAGAGTTTTCCCTCTTTTCTACTGGATTTCTTGTTGTGAAATCCCCCACATGTTTACTGTTAGACAAGAAAATAACTACTTTTGTGTTCAATTAAAAAAAAAAAAAAATAAGAAAGAGAGAAGGAAATTTGAAGGCATGTTGCTTCTATCTATACTTCTCTGATGTAGTGCTGCCACCTGGTGGCTCAACGTGGCATTGAGCAAATGCTGCTTTTATGTTTCCGTTTTTCCCCCTTACATTTGAAACATTTGCAATTCAGCAAAACCGTTGTTGTCCTTTATTTTTGCTTTAAGAAAAAATCTGAACTGACTTCAAGTGATTGTTTTACCACAGAGATGGGTTTTGTTTATTTTCACCACATGTGCAAATCCATCCACTTTTATCCCAGGGAAAAAAGTGGGACGAGAGACTGCGTCTTTCTGTCGGAACAGATTCCACGGAGCCACTTCCTGCACATGTTGACAAATGAGGAAAAAATCCTAAAAAAAGAAACACTAAGCCATTGATTTTTAAAAGATATATTCTCCTCTTGTCATTTTCTTTCACTTGTTGGCACAAAAAGTGACTTTTACGATGCAAACTACATCAGAATTCCTGCCTCAGAATCCTCAACACCAGGTACAAACCAGTAAGCGTTAACTGATGGCAGCTTTATCACATCTCCCTGTACTGTGTTCCATTAACAACCTTGTTCTGCTTTTAGTTCAGCTCACAGTAAATGTCCGCCATCATTTCCAGTCCGTTCCTTTTCTTCTACTTGCCTTATTGTTCGTACAAAACGTATCGTTGAGTTGATGAATGTATTGTGCCGTTACTACTTACTTGCCTGCGCTTGTATGGATTTGCTGTTTCTCTGGGTTTTTTTTTTTGTTGTTGTTTTCATTTATTTTTGGAGCGGGTGGGGAGGAGATGGAGGTGAACGAGGGCAGCACGGTGCAGAAGCCATGGTTTTAAAAATCCAAATCAAAACGATTCGATCATCATTGTCCACCGTATAGCTTATGTAACTGTTGACTGTAACAGTTTGCTTGAATTAATAAAAATCTAATGTTCCGTTTCAGCTTCGTGTTAAAAGGTCTGACTTTCTCCGATAACGTGATGCCTTTCATGCCAGAGCTTTAAACTGAGATCATATTGTGTTGAGAAATGACAAGAGTTGTAGTCGTTTTGGTCAAACATGGTTGTGAAGGACTCTCAGCTACTACCACACCTGATTTGAGCTCAGTATCTGTAAAAGTGACAGCGTTGTACCCATTTTTTGTGCTGGCTAATGTCGATTGCACTGACCCCAAATGTAATTATGTCCTTAATGCTCAAGTTGTAAACAGATTCCTCACAATTAGTAGCTCTTGGAGTACGTCTTGTGAATGACACTCTACTACCATACCAAGTCTGAGCCCAACTGCTGTAAAGAGAACTGAAACCAGCTGGATGTGGCAGATGATTAGTTCTTGCAGGTTTCATTGAAATTCATCCAGCGATTCATGAGATGTTTTGCTAACACAGACACACACACACACAAACAATATTGTCCACGTTTTCCTCTCAGCTATCGGTGATAAAAACCAAATCTAAAGCATAGTCGAATCATATCGACTCAGGTTGATTCTAGAAGTTAATCAGCCGTAGATGTGGAGGCAAAGATTATTCTAATAAAGTTCCATTGAAATTATTCAATGGTTTATGTTTTTTGGTACAGATGGGGGGGGGGGGGGGGGGGACAATTAATTAGGTTAATGAGAAGTACTGATTCTCATTGCTTTCAAGCTCTAGTCTCACTGCCTCCAATGCTGCTGGTCTTTCCTGACACTCAACCCTTCAACCGTTTTGTCATGTTGGTGATGATCCAAGTGCAAAAACACCGGAAGGATTCAACCAGCACCGTCCTCATAGTTCCGCTCGCTCTGTACTAATGGAATGCGGCTCACCGGGAGACTGAAAACGGCATCTGGCAGAGCTACAGACAAACAAACTTGAACAGTTTGTCAATCAGCAGAGTTAGAATCCCGGTGGAAAGCTCCAAAGATAATACACAGAATGATGGTCGGGGTTTGTGGCCAGGAAGCAGCTGAGCTGTGTCAGCGGGAGCTGGAGGCAGGATATACAGCTCCAGCAGCACAGTTCGGTTCTCCATGTATGACGCGTCCAAAACAAATCCTGGGTGTCAGGAGGCACATTCACAGCAACATTTCCAGGACGGCAGCATCTGTTGTGAACAAGAACTAAGATCTTATGAATCTCACTGCAACATCTGTCTATAGAAAAATCAGGAGTAACTTCCTGCAGCAATGCAACAAAAGGAAAAATATGAAAAGAACCAACCACTAACACAGCAGACCAGAATGACATCATTCTGTGAGATGATGTCCCACCGGGACAAAGACATTGACGCATGAAAATGAGTCTGTCCTGAAAAGGTAGAAGCGAGTAAAGATAATTGATGGAAGGATCTTGCTTTTTGGTTTATTAGGAGCAGAAGTGACTCATCTATGGCGTCCGGCAGTAGATGGGTGAGTTTACTGTTCCTGCCTCTGCTCAACCAGAGCTCCCAGGACATCACAAAGAGCCAGTGTTCACATGTGACCAGTCACTTCACCCACTCACATGTGAGGTTGGCGACATCCTGGCGTACACCTTGTTCTTGTGCACGTCCGTCACTGACGGCTCCACGGGTGACTCTGCTGGCTTCTCAGAGATCAGCCTCAGGGACAGAAAAGATTATAAAAGTACTTAAATAGTATGTCACTACCCAGGATCTGGTATGTACTTGTACTTGCCAGGTACATACAAGATAAGTTCAAGCCGAGTACCTTGTAGGTATTAGCTAGGTTTGTATTAGGGTACGTATCTGGTACTTACCGGGGTAAGCACTCCGTATCTGTACTGGGTACTTAAGGGGTGTAGCATAAAGATGTGCTCCCCTGACTATGACCTCTGACCTTTGGGTTGTTTACCAGACTCACCATGAACTGTTTTCTTTAAAGTTGCTCTAAACTTGAATAATGTCCGTTTTCACACATTCACCGTACTTGGACTCGGAGTCAGCTAGTCTGACTAATGTTTACTCTTTTCTTCTGTGCTTTTAATAACGTAAAAACAAACTTTAAGTTTGTTTTATTTTATTAGAACAGGTGTGAACATGATTAATGTTATTGTTTGCAATCATTAAAATGAAAAGTGAAATATTATATACTCTGTTTAACATACTTCTCTTCTGATTTTCAGAAAATAACTTATTTGAGAGACATCTGTGTTCAAGTGTTTTGAGCTGGAAGCTGTTTACTTCAGAGGGGAGTCATAACGTCTGAGAGATCCACAAAACACTTCTGAGAGCTCACACACAGTTTCTTTGTGTGACACTTGTTTGTTTCTCCATCCTGATGTGTTCGTCTGATGTCCAATTTCATTTATTCCTGAGCCAAGACACCTGTTTGATCCGTTACAATTTTGGTTAAAAGCAAAGTAGACGTTTCCAGTAACTGAAGCGTTGAATTATTCACTGCACGACTCTCGTTGTCATCATCACTTTTATTGTCCCCTTAGGGAAATTTTCCTTGCAGTAAGGTGGCGAGAAAATTAACGCACATCGCCACAAAATTGGCAAACAATAAAATCCATGTGCAAATATTAATAAAACAGAATGAATGACAACATCAAGCTCTGTTACTTTTAAAAATCTGAGTAATGGCCTGGCTGATAAGAGTTTTCCTTCTATTGGTTCTACATTTGGGCTGCCTGAACCTCTTCCCCAGATGGAAGGAGCTCAAATTTTCCATGGAGAGGGTGATTTGGAGAATATGTTCTGCTTTTTTCTAGTACTCTCTTAAAAAAAAAGTGTCTTTTAAATCAGGTAGTGCAACTCCTATAATTTTGTCTGCTACTTTTACAATTTGCTGCATCCTGTTCTTGTCTCCTGTTGATATAGACTGCCAAACCAGGTGATAAAAGCAAAAGTGAGCATAGATTCAATCAGAGAGTTGTAGAAAATAATCAGCTTTTAACACACTCCAAACTTTTTCAATTTGCGGAGGAAGTGAATTTGTTAACCTTATCCTCATTTTCACTGTTGTCCATACTATCCAAAAAAAATTATTTCAGACATTAAGAAAGGGGAAAAAACATCAGGACTTTACATTAACTGGGCTCTTGGAAGACAAATCAACTAATGTATACAGTAAAGGTATTTCGTTTTAAAGACTATTAACTTATTCAGTTTAATCTAAAGGTTTTTTCCTGCCCAGTCTCCAGATCCACTCCAGTCCAGTTGGTGGCGGTGTTGCACTTAAAATGAGTTTTCCAAACGCCAACAAAAATCCAACGAAGAAGAAAAATCACTTCCGCATAGTCACAACTTTCATGTAGCCGCTCAAACTGTGTCACGGTTTTTTGATTTGGTGCTAAAATCATGGCGAAAACGGTCCAAGTCAAAGACAAGAAACGAGAGAAGATCAGCGTCGCCACCGAGGTAAACAAAAAAAACAAAAACTTTTCGAGTTTCTGTGAACCAGTATGTATGTATGTATGTTTTATTTATTCATTTCATTTCATCCAAACAACAAATATAATACAATTTAAAGAAAAGAAAAAAGATATACAATCACCGAAATAAAATGAAAGGCTGCAGAAGAAGAATGAATTCTTATATCTGCCCCTTGTCCCCAAAATATTCCAAACAAAATTACTATACAAAAGCAAGATGAATTAATAAAAAGCTAAAAAATAATAAAAAAAACTTAGCTAAAATATAAGATCAACTGTAAACAATTTTTATGAACTCACATTATACTTAATATTTTTTATATAACCAGTCGCTCAGAGCTCAGTTAAAGAAAAATGTTCACTCTGTGTCGTCTGCCCATCGGTCTCTCGCCATCTTTGTATTATTTTAGTTGGGGTCAACTACTCTTTTGTGTTTGACTCGTATTCACCGCTGCAGATTGACCGGTTGGAGGAGAGACGGGCGCGTTGCCATGACAACCTGGAGAGGGCGGAGTTTAAGAGCAGGAAGGAGCGGCTGTCAGAGCAGGAGAGGCGAGTTAAATGCAACTCAAGCTTTCATGAAACAAAACGTTTGGTTTCTTACCCGTGAAGGAGACTTCTAAAGAGATCACGCCCTTCTCTCTCGAATATTGTTCACAAATGTGTAAATCTGTGTTGGTGAACGCTTCTTTGCAGAGATGATCCGCCTCGCTGGAACTGATTAGACAGCATGGTACAGGTGTGCCTTAGGCTGCCCACAATAAAAGGCCACTTTAGAATGTGCAGTTTTATCACAGCACAACGCCACAGACGTTGCAAGTTTTTAGATTTGGCAGTACATCCAACCGGACTCGGCCGAATACCACGCACACCAGCCCTTTTGTTCGTTGCCCATACCATGACCCCACCGCCACCATGGGCCACTTGATTCACAACGTTATCAACAAACCGCTGATGTCAGTTTATTAGAATTCACACAATGCCGTACTTGCAGTCTGCCATCTGCCCCGTTCAGTGAAAAAGAGTACTTCAACGTTCCATGCGCCATCAGACGTCAGCATCTGCCCACTCAGATCAGTTACGATGACAAACTGCCGTCAGGTGGAGACCCGATGAGGACGACGAGCTCCCCTGAGACGTTTCTGACATTTTGTGCAGAAATTATTTGGTTATGCAAACAGCTGGTTGCAGCAGCGGTCCAGATGGCTGGTCTCTGATGATCATGGAGGTGAAGATGGTGGAGGTCCTGGGCTGGTGTGGTTACACGTGCTCTGTGGTTTAGAGGCCGGTGCCAAATTCTCTGAAACGCCTCTGGAGATGGCTTATGGTAGAAAAATGAACATTTAATTCATGGGCTCAGGAGGACATTCCTGCGGGCAGCATGAAAACTTGCAACATCTGTGTCATTGTGCTGTGAGATAACTGCACATTTAGAGTGGCCTTTTATTGTGGGCAGCCTAAAGCACACCTGTGCAATAATCATGCCGTCTAACCAGCACCTGTGAGGTAGATGGACCATCTCAACACAGGAGTGCTCACTACACAAATTTGTGATCAATGTTTGAGAGAAAAAGGGTTATGTTTATATTTGTTTGATATTCTCACTAGAAATTTCCTAAGCTCATTTTTGCTCACTATATTTTTTTATCATGTGTTTTAGCAATAATTTCCTTTTAATGGCAGGAAGGTTTAGCTCTTTTTGTGTTGAAAACATTAAGTAGATTAATGTCCGGTGATGAATTTGGACTTATGTACTCTAGTCCCTTTTTGTTGCTTAATATGGTGGCTGTCTCATTTTAGTTGGTTTTTTTTTTCCATCTATTATTTAAAAACTCTGACATTAAAGCTTCTGAGTGACTTGTTTTGGACCTTATGCAGGAATAGAAAATCAAACACGGTTGTTTCTGTTACACAGACAAGAACTGCAGGAGGAAATGGCAATCATAAATGAGAGAGTGCAAAAGCTAGGTGAGTTTATGTACTTTACTTTCATATTCTCAGTCTTGTCCTTTTTGGGCGGAGGGTTATTTAACTTCTCGTTACTGCTTTTGGATATTTGATTTTCACGGTCGCCACCCGTGACCTGAATTAGAGCGTTTATAATTCTTATATTTGATATTTATTTCGAGTTCTTACCTAAATAAAAAGTTGCAGCTTAAATAAGTCTGAAAACTTAAACAGATCCAATTCTTCCAAACATATGAAACTTCTCGTTTACTTCATTGTGAAATTTTAAAGTTTCTTTGGTAGGTTTTTATTCATTTTAAAAGAACAAAATATCAAACTGGCTTTCTACAACCAGATAAATAAAAATCAGCAAACATAGTAAAAGTAAGTTGTAGTTGGCGTTTTAAAAAAAGGCAGATAAAACTAATGATTTATTTTAGATAAGTAGAATATATTCAGGAAGTCTAATGAGGAAATAGATCAGTCACGGATAGTAGTAAATATTAAACATTAGCACATTTCTGATTTTTGTTTTGTTTTTAGACAAAGAGCTGCAGTTGTTAAGAGGCGAGAACCGGAAGAACATGCTGCTGTCAGTCGCTGTGTTCGCCGTCAGCGCGCTCGCCTACTACGCCTTTTTCTACAATGACGTCGACACATGACGCCACCCAGGACCCCATCGGGACTGAGCCAGCCCTGACAGCCTTATTACAGGATGATGGTTTACAGACAAAATTATTAACACTGAAACAAGCCAGACCTGTTTCTAGCATCCCTCTGTTCTGCCACTAGAGGGCAGCATTGTCATATCAGGATTAAACTGGACAGCTGCTGTTCCATTACTCTGATCATTACTCATCGTTTGCTTATTTGCATTTTCTCTTGACTAGAGAAGAATTTTCAAAAGCTGCTAATTAATTCAGACTTTAAACTGACCATCACAAGTAGAATATATATCATCATTGTTTCATATATGATCTAATGAACTGAATGTATAATTTGCCTTTTGTATGCAAACTACTTTGATCAGGTATGACAATAAGACTTTATTCGATGTAATAGATTATTTTTTTTTCAAATTATGATTTAGTTTTAATGAACGCGAGATCCCCCCGTGCACAAGTCTTTTTGTGCATCCATATTTTGTTAGCTCTCCTAACGACAAAATCACACCAAGCAAATTCAGATGTTTTTCTAAATGCAAATGTGAAATTATATTAGACTTTTTTCTTTTTAATAAATATTTTGAAGCAAAATTGTTCCACAGTCCAGTCATTTTTGACAGAAGCTCAAACCTTTCACAGCTGGATGGGTCCTTTCTGAAGTCATATTTGTGGCTTTTCACAGAAACTTAAAATGCCAACAAATACCACCACCAGTACTACGTCTTGTATAATTCCATGTATTTGGACAGCTCAGAGGTTATTAGTGTTGGTTATAAAACCAGCATGTTCTGATTTGTTTAACTCAATATGAGGTCAGCTTAGGATTCTGTTAATTTAATGAGTAAGATGTCACATATTTTTACTGTGTTGCTTGTTACGACTCTCTTAAAGGGCAACAAGTCAGAAGCCTTTAACTCAAGTCTATTCTGGACAAGCCATGCATTTACTCTTGGCAAGTAAACAAAATCAGCTTTCTCTGATCAAAAGAAAAACACTAAACCTGTCGGAAAATACATGTCAGGTCACCATCTGCCATCCACAAGCAGAACAGGTCACATGATACGAGTATTAATGTACAGTTGATGGTCTGAAGTGGGAGCTGTTGTCCATTTTAAGATATCAATCCCACCTTCATTTAGATATTTTTAGGAATATTAAATACATTTTATTGGGTGGTGTCATCGCTGCTGCTCTGACCTGAGAGCAAAGATCTTGAGACAGTTTTACTCTTAATTTTTTTTTCTAACAGTTTGAAATGCTTTTGGTTCAAAGTTTAAAAAAAAAACACACACAAAAAAAAAAAAAAACAGTCAAGCTTGAGTGCAGCCTGATGTGAATATCCGATGATCTAAAAACAAACAAACAAAAACACGTACTAGTCTTTAGTTTATTGACTGTAGTTATCAACTACAAAATAATCAAAAAGGAGCTTAGAATGTGGCCAGTGTTGGATTATCTAATCCAAAAATAGTACAAGAACGACTACATGTCAGATTTGTACATATGTTAGACTTTCGGTTTTCATAGCTTCTGACTGAACTGAAGGCACTAATGAAAGTGTGGTAAAATAAAAATACATTCAAGATGGAGATTAGAGCTATTGAACCATATCAAACACAAAAATGGCTATAAGTAGTAGTAGTTCAGGAGCACCACAGGGTACTGTACTCTCACCATTCCTTTTCACTCTGTACACCTCAGATTTCCAGTACAAAATAGACTCCTGTCATCTGCAGAAATATTCTGATGACTCTGCAGTGGCCGTGTGTATCAGAGATGGACAAGAAGCTGAGGACAGGGAACTGGTGGACCGCTTTGTGGCATGGTGTGGAAACAATCACATCTTGAATGTGAACAAAACAAAGGAGATGATTGTAGATTTCAGGAGAAACAGGAACAGGTCCAACACTATTTCCATCATGGGAGAAGAAGTGGAGGTAGTGGAGAAGTATAAATACCTTGGGAGTTCACCTGGACAACAGACTGGACTGGAAATGCAACAGTGAAGCCAAAAGGGACAGAGCAGACTGTACTTCATGAGGAAGCTGAAGTCCTTCAACATTTGCAGCGATGCTGCATATCTTCTATAAGTCAGCAGCACCAGAGCAAGTGACTTAAGATCAACAAGCTCATAAAGAAGGCTGGCTCAGTTCTGGGGACTCTCCTCTAGAACCTTTGGAGATGATTGTACGAGTCTTCATAAAATGAAGAACACTATAGACAATCCTCAGCATCCTCTTCATCAGACTGTCATACAACAAGAGTGTCTTCAGTCAGAGGCTCCTTCAGATCCGCTGTAAGACCGACCACTACAAGAGATCCTTCCTGCCCACAGCCATCAGCATCTAGAACAACTCTGATGAAACCAGGATGATGAGTTACAACAACATTTAATTTCCCTCTGGGATTAATAAAAGTATTTCTGAATTGAATGACTCTTGTATAAATTTATAATTTCTAAGAGTTCTTGATCTGGATGCAGATCTGCCATTTGCAGAGCCCTGGTCTGCACCATTCGTCTAGTGTAGGGCAGAGGTCTGCAACCTTTACAATCAAAAGTTTTTATTTCAACTTCTTTAATCACTTAAAAAAAAAAAAAAAAAAGTCCAGAGCTTAACATTGGGCTACAACTGTGATCAACTGGTGGCTCGTAGGCCACTTCTAGTCCACTGGTCAGGGCCTTTGTTTCCCCCAGGGGTTTGGTACAACTGTAGTTTTGGTATTAAGTTTATTCATTTTTAAAAATACAAAACAATTCCATAACAATATTAAAAAAAATACAAGAGATTTAAAATGAAAGGCAGCAGAAAGAAGATATTATATCTGCCCCTTTTTTCAAACAATTAGTTCAGTCATAATCATCTTCAAGTAACAGAACAAATGAATAGAATAACTATAATTGTTCTAATACAAAAGCACACTAAGCTACTTCATTTCATTTATTTTTTTGACAATTCAGCTTTGATCTTTTTCATAGTACATATGAAAATCTCTGCTTCTTCCTGTATTAAACCATTTTTTAAAATATAATTCTGACAATTACGGGCATTTATTTTATTTTTTTTTAAAGTGGGGAAAAATGTGTGTGTTATGTATCTGGAGGATACGATCCATAGCTGGAGGTCACCGGAGGAATGTAACCTGTGGCCACAGGTCCTCCGGTGAACAAATAAACTGTATTAACTCGTTTTCACACAGACAAACATTTGAATATTTTTAAAAAGTAAGCGTAAAAGGAAAACAAAAAATATAATGTATTAATTTTATCTGGCTTTTGTATGTTTCTTGTTTAGGGAAACGTTAGTGCGCCCTGCCTCCTACTCCCTCTGTTACTGCGACACAGACTCTGTCACGCCTCCACACTCGTTCTCTCGTGGCCTGTTGAAACGCATGAACACAAGCGCATTATGCAACCTTTCCGTGGGATTTCAAAGATTAATATTTTCCTTAAAAATCAGGTGGAATTATCACCGTCAAGCTGTGGTAGAGACTGCATATTGGGAAGTTTTTTTATTTTTAATTAAAAAATTAAGAAAAACTTGTGATTTCGCCTCAAACATACTTTATATTCCAGCAGGTCCATCAAAAACATCCCCTGCAAAAGCTTCATTTTCAGCCTGACCTCATGTTCTTTTCCATCTTTCATGACACGGCATGTTTATGAAAACAGCTTTAGGTTCGTCTGAGCACCAAAATGCCAGATGTCACTTTGAATTCTTTATTTGTCGAGTGCAGGGAAGTTTGAGCTCCAACGCAGTGAAGTCCAGCTTCTGAACTCGAGTCAGATCTCATTAAGTAAGACGAGTTCAGTCAAGGCAGAAAGAATAAATCGAGGTTTTTAAATGGGGTTTGTGGGAAACATTCTGTAAATGCAGCTAGCACGGCGCCCGCTGCCTTACATGCCAGAGTTTGAAGCAAAAGTTTGTGATGTAATCGCACGTGGAGTGTAAGACGAGGATGATTTTCTACTACACACCGAGTTTCAGCTTAAAACTGACTGAAAGTCGTGTTTGTGTTTGCCAAGCTTCATTAGATGTGGCAGCCATGATGAACCAAGTTCACTCCAAAACTAATCAGTTCTAGGTGTGCATCCAATGATTAATTTTAGGGTTTCATTAAAATCAGTTTGCTGTTTAATGAGATATTTAGCTAACAGACCAAATACAGTGTTATATAATCTGTTGATTTAAAAACTCAAAACCTTTGCCACATTTTAAGACAAACCATAATCTCCTACTACAACTAATTTTATCCAAATGTTCGTCAACATACAAGTACTCAGTGTTGAAAAATTAGCTTGTGCGCTATTATGGTGTATAAAAAAAATGGCTGAGATAAGTGTGCGTTTATCTGCAGCAATTTAATGAAACAAAAAACGTGTATAAATGTGTACATAAATGTATTCATACCAGGTAATTACACTTACAGTAGTCCCTCATTTATTGTGGAGTTTCCGTTCCAGACCCCCGCAATAAGTGAAAATCCACAAAGTAGCAACGTTATATTTTAATATTTATATAGTATATATTTTAAGGCTTTAGAAACGCTTGCCACACTCTTTCAATGTTCTAAACCAGGAGTCTGCGGCCTTTACGATCAAAAGAGCCATTTCTGCCCCTTCGTTCACTAAACGTGTCCAGATCCACAAAACCTGCTACAGTTAGTCAACTGGTGGCCCATTTTAAGTTTGTTAGAGGGGGCTTTTCTGGCCAGTAGGCGTGAAGTTATAAAACTAAAAACATCTAACGATTAACTTTTGATATTTTTACATCTTAAGACAAAAAACTGGATTCCATCCATCCATATCTTTACTTGCCTTTTCCTTTTTTGGGTTGCAGAGCGGCACTGGTGCCCATATCCAGGTCGCAAGTTTACCACAGAAGACTGGATTCTTGAAAAGAAAAAAATTAATTAAATATATTATTTTGCCAATTAAAAAAAAAAAAAAAAAAAAAAAACACACTACATGAACTGTGCAGACTTGTATGTTTTTTTATTGTGGAGAAATTGAGTATCCTACTTTGAAGAAATAAAGCATCAAGTTAAAGGGAGTACAATTTACTCTGTATTAGTACTAATATCCACATATTTGTAAAGAAAATTTCAGGACCTACCCTGCTGGTTCTGGTCGGTTTTCTGGCTCGAGGTGCAGTAGTGGCAGTGGCTCCAGAAACAGTGCTGGAAACAACAGCGACAACCCCACTTGGAAGTCCTCATGGGCTGGCTAGGATCTCTCAGGTTCACCACTGAGTCTGTGGATCCGGTTCTGTGCATCCAATCAGCACCCAGGTTACATAGCACAATGCTCTGTTTCTTAAAGATACATTGTCGTAACAGGCTGGTGCCGGTAAATCCAGTTGTGCAGGCAGGGAGTTGAGGACTCAGGAGAATACAAAATAAATTATTTATTTACAAAAAACAAAAGCTGTCAGTACAGCAAAACTTAAATGAGTAACAAGGAGTAGACCAGAACATCACCAGTGGGCATGAAACAATGCCAGGAC